TCCGGCCAACCAACCAACCCCTTAACCACTTAACCGACCATCCAACCAACCGACCTGCCCGTTAACCAGCTGACCATCCAGCCAACCAATCCGTTAACCAATCCAGCAGCCAGCCAGCCAACCCGCCCACCCTCCACTCAGCCACCTCCCGGACATCTCCTCCTCCATCGCCAGCCGACTGACCGATCAACCAACCACCCAACCAACCGGCCAACCAGCCAACCAACCTTCCAACCAATAATCCAGCCAACCAAACATCCAACCAACCTTCCAACCACCCAACCAAACATCCAACCAACCAACCACTCAACCACCCATCCATCCAATCACCAATCACTCCTCCATCCACCTTCCACTCAACCACCTCCCTGACCTCTCCTCCTCCGCCCCTCCCACCAGGCCCCACCCTCGCCCCACCCCAAGGCGTGGCAGCACCACCAGTAACCCCCACCTGGGGTGGGCGGGGTGGGATGGGCGGCTTCAACCTCCAAAACCCCACCCAGGGGTTGGAGGACACGTGAGACACCGCCCACGCCCCCTCTGGAGAAGAGGACACCATTGGCCCCATGGAAGGGTTGGGAGATGCTCCAATGAGATAGCCGGTTGGCTGGGCCACCCTTTAACCACACCCCTTGGCCGACTCTTCAACCGCGGCTGGGCGTGGCCTTGGCCCCATCTTTCGGTAGAACATCTCCAACCCCTTCCACGTTGCAACCGTGCTCCTTGGTGGGACTCCAAGCCCCACTTTCTCCAATCGGCGTCAACCTTTTCCTTCTTGTCCCGCCCCCTTCCTCTTCCCACCTCCGCCTTGACCCAACCCCCTTCCCACCGTCGCCGAAAGACACCACGCCGCGGAGACCTTGGCGGTGCGAGACGAGACCGGTTGGCTTTATTTCGAGCTCGGCAAACTCCTCGGCCACAAAGGTCATCTCCAAAGCGATGGGGCGGGGGCTGAAGATGTTGGGGGTCTCCCCTCCCCCCACCCCCTTAATTACCGGGACTCTTCGAGATCTGCCGTTGGGTGAACCTCATGGGCAACCCTTCGTGAACCACCATGCAGGTGTAGGTGTCGCCGCCCAACCAACTGGCTTTGGGGATCATCATCTTGCTGTAGATGAAGAAGGTGCTCTCCTTCGGCCCGTCCTTCAGCGGCGGCGTGGTGACGTAATGGTCTTCGCCGACGTTCTCGTGGTTCTTCAACCATTGGACCTGGACGTTGTCCGGTTGGAAACCGTAAACCATGCAAGTGAGGGTGACTTTGGCTTGAGTCATCTCCTCGGCGTGAGGCGCGAAGACGAAGATGAGAGGCGGGGAGACCTTGCCTACGAGAAGAAGACGGTCGGCGTCGGCCAAAATAGAAGGGTTTGGTGGTTTTTTTCGGGTGGGGGGGGGGCGTGGTTTGGAGGAGAAGACACTCACCTGCCCGTCTGGAGATGCTCTTGTTGAGCGGCAACTGGAGTTCGTCGTGTTTCACCATGCAGGTGAACCGTTCGCCGGCTTCCCAGTCTTGGGTGGAGATGGTCAAGGTGCTGGTGGCCGTGTAGGTGCCATTAAATTGTTCTTGGAGATCCAAGAATTCGGGACTGAGGACACCCGGTTTCTCCTTGATCCAGAAGAGTTGGAAACCGGAATCGCTCGGCAAGTTGGTGGCCAAACAACGGACTTTGGGGTTACGGGTGATGTAGAGGTCGGCCACGTTGGGTGGGAGGACGTAGAGGACGATGTTGCTGACGCTGGGGGGCTCCAGGCCTGCGGGTGGGAGTGGGGGAGGTGAGGAGGGGGGAGGGGTGGTGGTGTCCCCTTCCTCCTGCCCAGTGCTCATGGGTGGGGGTTACTGGTGATACTGGGGAGGCTCGTCGTGGTCATGGGACCTCCCGGAAGGCACCGCGGTCATGAAATATCCCGCACGGGTGTCACTAGTGGAAGCCGTCATGGTCACGCGACCTTCTCCACCGGTGAGAGCCGCCATCGGCGTGCAATGTCTTGCAACCGGCCACGGCCACGGGACCTTCTCCACCGGCACCACCCACCATGACCACACAACCTTCTCCACCGGCACCACCCACCATGACCACACAACCTTCTCCACCGGTGCCACCCATCACGGCCATGCAATGTCCTCCAACGTACTGTGGCCACGTGACCTTCTCCACCGGTGACACCCACCATGACCACGCAACCTTCTCCACCGGCGACAGTCACCACGGCCATGCGACCTTCTCCACCGGTGCCACCATGACCATGCGACCTTCTCCACCGGTGCCACCATGACCACACAACCTTCTCCACCAGTGCCACCATGACCACACGATCTTCTCCACCGGTGCCACCGTGACCATGCAACCTTCTCCACCGGTG